CACACACACACACACACACACACACACACACACACACAGAGAGAGAGAGAGAGAGAGAGAGAGAGAGAGAGAGAGAAAGAGAGAGAGAGCGCGCAGCCTCAGCTGCAGAGCTAGGCTGGGCCACTTGGACTCCATGCCGCTGGACCAAGATGTCCCTCCTGCATCCTCAGGGTCCAACCTGGTTTCAGGTACCATGTGTCTGCTCTAGGGCCCCCACCACCTCATGCAGTCACTGATTCGACCCCATTTCAATATGCTATCCAACCAATGCCAGACAACTTGGGCCCATATCACAATCACCCTTTCTTTCAGCTGGGGCCAGCATTCATTCTTACCACAAAGAAAACTACCCCTGATGCCCCTCATCCTACCCCGCCTCAGTCACCCAGCTCCTAGTGCCCTCTGCAGAACAGTCTGGAAGCTACACTCTGCTCATTCACTTCCTGTATCCCTTCATCTATCCATTCTTCCTCCCATTGGTCCATACATACATTCATCTTCCCATCCATCCATCCATCCATCCATCCATCCATATAGATGAGTGAGTAGTACTCATCTATATTATCCACCCATCAACCCATTAGTCCGTCCAATCATATATCCACCCTCTACTCATCTATCCTTCCATCCACCTGTCTATTCCTCCCTCTTTGTCCATCTATCCTTCTGTAATCCATCTCTTCCATCCATCCATCCATCCATCCATCTATCCATCCGTAAGTTCACTTATCTATACATCATTCATCCATTCCTTTAGCCATCTCTCCATTCTTTATCCATCAACAATCCATTTATCTGTTCATCCATCCATTTATGCATCTATTCATCCATTTCCCATCCATCCATCCGCCCACCCATCCCTCCACCTCTTTGTCTCTGCCTGTCTATCATCCCCACTTCTTCCCTTCCCCTATCTAAAACCCACTTTGGAAGCCCCCACTATTTGCCAGGCACTGAAGAAGATGTCACTCAGTGCTTATGTATGGGTAAAAGGCTCAGCATACCACGGGCCAAATGGAGGCAGTGCCAGTTAGTGCTCTGGGAAGGGGCTCTGGTTGGACCCCAAATCTTCCCTTTTCCCCATATGGCCTCAGTTTCTGAGTTCTGGTGTCCTCCACTGTGAGGAGGCTAATACATGCCAACTCCCAGAGTGGCTGGAGATGGGAAGAATGGTGTACTAAACACAGGCTCCTCTCATGTCTCGACACTAGAAAGCTCACATGTGACTGATGCTCAGCTATCTCCTGAATTGGCCACTACCTTGCTCCCCCCTGGACTTCTGACAGCTCCACGTTGTGTTTAACTTCACAGGTGGCCAGAGGGACCCTGTTAACACAGCAGCCAGATCCCACCCTCTGCTGCTTATGGCTCTCCAGCAACTCCTGAATCACCCAGATAAAGGTGAAGAGCTCACTCCTCAGTCAGCCTCTGCTCTGACCTCACTAGCAGGGCTAAGCAGCAGCCTAGGGGTGGGGTTGGGGGCTTGGAAGTTGCTCTTCACTCTGCCTGCATCCCTCTGCCATGTCACATTCTCGGTGGATGATGCCTGCTACATTTTCTTTCTCCCTCTGTTTATTGCCACCTAGCCTCTCAGACCACATCTGCTGAAAAACACATTCACAAGGGGAGGGGTCGCATCTGCTTTGCTCTCTGGTTGTGTGACAGGCTGTGCACATTTTCTGTTAGGTTGCATCTCTGTTTCTAGTCACAGACACGCCTGTCACCCAGTCCAGGTGTACTTTAAGAGTTGGTCAAGTCAGACACACCAGCCTGGGACATCCCTCCAACTGAGGTCTTCACTTGTCCCCAGGTCCCTCCCTCCCTGCCACAGTGCCATCTGTGATGATCCTAATGCATTTCTGTGTGCCCCTCCAAATAACTTGTCACTAGGGGAGTCTCATCTTTGTTTGGAACCAGAACCTGCCCATGGAGCTCACTGGCCAAACTAGTGCAGATGGAGCACAGGCTAGATGCTTTTTCTGAGTGTGCACCTGAGCTAGTTCCAGACACAGGCTCCATTAGAGCAGGCTCACCACAGCACAAAGCAGCACCAGAGCACATTACCAGCACGCACACCACGCCCTTCTGCAGTGTTTCTTGAGGGAAAAGCTATTCTGTGGGCAGCAGCCATTGCATAAACAGGGAAACTGAGGCTCTGGGTAGGTCTAGACACTGG